CGGGCTCAGAGCCGGCCTGGGAGGCCCTGCGGGGACGCACCGGCTCCGGCCCGGCCGTTTCAATGGCCCGGTGTGGGGAGGTGGCTGGTCCCGTTTGGGGAGAGGACCTGGGGGCACTGGAGAGAGCTTGTCCTCGAGCCCGGAACCGCGTTTGAATCTTACCGCCTGCGCAGCCCGTCGGATCGCGGACGTGGCTGTTGGTTCAAAGCTCCAGGTTCAAGTGCGCCTGAGGAGGGGCCGAGGCGGCGGGGGCGGCCGGCGTGTTTGGTAAACACACCGGTCACGTTGAAAACCACGTGCGCCCGGCCGCACCGGACGTCCCAGAGGACGGCCCCTCTGCCCGGCGACCCTAACTCTCACGGCCGAGCCAGCTGGTCGGCGTAGCCGGCCCTCCGTTTCTCAGTTAGTTTAGGCTGCTCCTCTTCCCAAAGGTCTGGCCTTGGTGAACCAGGTACCTGAAGGCCCGGCCAAGACGGAACGTTTCCTTGCTAATAATTGTTATTTGTATGTTAGCTGCAAAACGTGGACTTACTATTATTCAAATCCACCCCCAGCCCCTTTACTTTCATTGCAGTGCACGCCCACATTCTGACCCTGCATAAAGTTACTCTTTTCCACCCCCCTCCGCCCATTCCTACTGCTATGAATTGAGCTCCATCCATTCAGAATTTCATCGGGCCCAGACCCTAAATTAGTCACTGCTCTATTGAGGTCGCCTCTCTAAGAAGTGATTCTTTCTGAACTCAAAAATCGTGTGGATTTTTATTTTCTTTCCTTTGATGCTGCCTTTTCTAAATAACTTCTAAATAATTTCCTCCTTAGTGTAATTGTAGATTTCCAAAGATATGTTCTTTGTCCTTTCTTGTAACTGAACTTGGTATTTGAGGTGTGGAGCCCCATCTTCCTTAGTTCACTTCCAAACACCTAGCACACTTAACCTTACCCTTCTGCCAAAAAAGCAGGGAAGGTCCAGAGAGGGTTCTTAGAAGTCTAGGTAGTGTGTTTTTCCAAATACGTATGTAATGTATTTAGTAAATATACTGGTGCTCTCAGAAATCAGTACTCTTAACCTCCAAGTACTCTCTCTCCTTTTGTAGTTTTTCTTTCTATAAAAATTTTCTTCGGAACAGGCATTCCAGGCTCTATAGTGACTCTAGTTGAATTTGTTTCGCTGCCTGTAATATCTGTTGTAACTGCTGTTAATTTCTTATCTTGCAGAACAGCTTACAGATAACAGAGTTTGAATAAGGAATGAGCAATGAAAGTGTATCCTTAGGGACCTAGTTTTTTATCACTGATGTTTTTTTATTACTGACTTCATGATGAAAATAATCGATTGTTTCAGTTACGTATATTTTATAAATACTACAGTACTTGTGAGTTAGTCATTTTGTTGCACTTTCAGGCTTTTCAGCTTTTCTTTTCTTTCTTTTTTTTTTAATATATTTTATTGATTTTTTACTGAGAGGAAGGGAGAGGGATAGAGAGTTAGAAACATCGATGAGAGAGAAACATCGATCAGCTGCCTCCTACACGCCCCCTACTGGGGATGTGCCTGCAACCAAGGTACATGCCCTTGACCGGAATCGAACCTGGGACCCTTCAGTCTGCAGGCCAACGCTCTATCCACTGAGCCAAACCGGTTCTGGCTTCAGCTTTTCTTTAATCCTTTTATGAATGGATATGGTTTAAATTTTCCGGGATGTTTTTGGGTTGGGTTGGGTTGAGTTGGGTTTGGGGGTTGGTTTTTGGTTTTGCCAATTGCCCATGATGTAATTTTATATCGTTATAAAGGATATTTGAACTACAACAATTCACTTGTTAGAAAAAGAAGTGATCAAGTGTATATTACCACCCGCTAAAGAATGTGGCATTTTTGGAATCCTTGGTATTCTTATTTTAAAAACAAAAACAAAAAACAGTTGTTCTTTATTTTAAAAATCTTCCAAATGTTTTTTGAAAGCACTTTATTATTCTGCTTGCGAAGACTAAATTATAGGTGGCACAATAGTATGAGAGCTGCTAGTTCTTTGAGAAATCTTGACCAGAGATTTGTCTTGTGCTGAATTCTATGCCAGTGGTTTGCAAATTATGTTCCCATGCAATACTGTTCCATGATCCAGAATAGGGGTGGGGAACCTTTTTTTCTGCCAGGGGCCATTTGGATATTTATAACATCATCGAGGGCCATACAAAATTATCAACTTAAAAATTAGCCTGCTATATTTGGTCAAACATTTAATTAACTCACACCTAATGCCTTGGCAGGACCAGACCAAATGATTTTTCGGGCCTTATACAGTCCTGGGGCTGGACGTTCCCCACCCCTGAGCTAGAAGGAAGTATTTGCTAATATCAAAATGATATCAGCCTCCTGATACTTAAATGTATTCCTAGTTTTTTATTTTCTTGAAGGGGTGGATATACTGCTGTTTTTATATTATGTATAGTAACTTTTATATATATATTTAACAGAAACTATGTGAAGCAACACTTCCTGGATTTCAAAAGACATCATTTCATCATGGGACAACAGATTTCGGATCAGACGCAGTTGGTTCTTAACAAGTTACCAGAAAAAGTAGCAAAACATGTCACATTGGTTCGAGAAAGTGGCTCCTTAACTTACGAAGAATTTCTTGGGAGAGTAGCTGAACTTAATGATGTGTAAGCCTTGCTCTTTTTCATTTTTTTTTCCTGCTTATGTATGCCCCACATGTCATGACTACCTGAGAGGTAATCAGAAGTACTGATGACTTAATGTTTTCAGTAGCAGTTAGCAAATATTTATTGAATACCTACTATCAGACTTTCTATGTGGCTATTTTAAAATATGTAATAAGAACAAAAGAGATGGAAGGAACATTAAATTAAATTTTAAACACAGGCATATAAGTTGTTCTTGTTTGAAAGCACTAAAGAGGTACATAAGGAGAGTATGCCAATTACCCACTCTAGAAAAAGGCTCCTAGGATAGTCCTTGGGCACTCAGGTTTCTGTATATCAGCCAGTTCATCTAGTTAATAAATAAATCTTCTGTGTTTGTTCGCAGAGCTATTGTTTTACCAGAGAAATACATATATAGTAATAATTCATTTATCATCAGAAGAATAAGATATTTCAGTTATTAATATTTCTAATTAGCTAACATCTTTAAATCACTATTTAACTTGAATAGGTTAATGTTTTAAATGGAATGTACATTTTTCTACCTTCTTAACGAGCATATTTAATAGAATTTAGTCTTTTGTTTGTGAATTTGTTCTTTATTATATCAGTTTTTCTACCAAGCTGTTATAGCAGCTATCAAAATACACAGGACTCTTTGTCCCTAAATGGCCCCAGATTATTATGCTTTTAAAATATTACTTTTTCTTTGTGTGTTTTCTCCCTTAGTGACAGATGAGCAGATGTCACTTCCTTCTATTAAGTCTTTCTGTGGCAGCGCCTACATCCATGTATATATATCTTCTGTCTCTCTTGGCATGTAATTATGAAATTGCCTTTTAAATAAGATCTTAAAGGTTCTCTCAAGTCTGTTTAATTTAGCTAACATTTACTGAACCCATAGTGTGTGCAAGGCACTGTGCTGAGGGTTGGACATTTTAACTGAGGCCTACAATGATTGCCCAAGGATTAATGGCAGATCCAGCTCTCCCTGCATCTGAAGTTTTTTTCATTAACCCACCTTAACTATCCCACTCTAACCTCTCTTTAAATCCCAAAAAAGCCAATCAAAATCACCAAGCAGTCTGGACCCACTTAATATAAACTATTGACAGTCCCTATAAATAGTTTAGGGCAAGGTACACGAATGTGCTCCCTAGCTTTGTGATAGCTATGTTGGTTGATAAGAAGCATACTTGGCTATGTGGAACACATTTAGATAAAGAAAAGGAAATACAGTTTTTTTATGGACATGACTACAGTCTACTGTTATTAGCCAGTCATGAAGAATAAAGAATGTCTTAAAAGTTAAAGTTGTTTTAGAAGATCATTTCTTTTAAGAGTACTGGATTTTGTTTTGTTCTTAAAGTCCTGTATATGTATATGGATGGATCCTGTATTGTTATATATGTAAATACATAGAAAAAGAGCTAGGAGGCTGCATACTGGGTCTCTGGGGAGTCCGTGGAAATGGGGGCATTGAGGGAGATTTTACATTTTACTGTGTGTTTGTGTATTGTCTGATCTTTTATAATAAAAAAATGTAGCCATTGGTTTTTAAAACTTTAGCATCTCTTTGAGTCTCGGAACTTATGTAAACCTTGTCTAGTCTAACAAAATTTTGCCTTTTCATCTAAAGATACTGAATAAAATGTGTCCCGTGAAAGCATCCACAAGCGAAGTTTACTGTATAATACAGATGTGATGGTAAAGAATATCTTCTCATTTATTTCTGACTGGATTTGGTTCATAAAACCAATTTTCACGGTCAGAGTTGGGCTTTCATAAACGTAGTGCTGTCTGAGAAATAAAGTTAAACCTATACAGATGAAGCGTGGCTTGATAGCTAGAAAACAACTGGGAACTGGCATAGTTGAATTACATTCCTTGGCAGATTTTGTTACCTCAGGCTAGTTGCTTAATTTCAATGGCCTCAATTTATTTAGCTGTAAGTCATTTAGTTCTGAGTGTGATATCCCCATTGATGCACAGACAGAAATGTGACTAATGATAGAAGGGAGCAGTAATATTTAAGTATGTCTTTGAACTGATTTAAATTAGCATTATGGCGATATTATTCTCTAAAAGTCATATTTTTATGTTAGAATCCTGTGGCTCTCTAGATGAAAATTACTCTGCCCGGGAAAGCTGTATTCAAAGTGTCTCAAAAGCATTTGCTTGATCCAGTCCATATTACCTATTAACTTTTTTTCCAAAGTGATGTGTTATTATTGTTGCTTAAATAAGGACTCAACCAAAAGCAAGATTTTTTTTTTCACACTTTATATGCATTGAGGCAATAGTCAAATTTGGATAAGTGAAACCAGCTTGGTTTTTCTTTTAAATATCTGTTTCCTTGGCTATGTTTTTCGTAGATGTCTTTGTTAAAAGTTTAAAGACCATTAAGATATTAGATATGACAAACAGATTTATAAATATCTTTCCACTATGCTGTTGACTTTAAAAACCTTGGAAATTAAGTTGTATGTTTAATCAAAACTTTCTCTATCCCTTTGTTTTAAGAATCTAATTATTATAAACATTATTGTTATTTGACTTTGTGTTTTTTCTTCAATTTTTTTTCTCTGATTTAAAGTGTTTCTTGAATCTAGTTTCATGGCTCAATTATTTTATATGACTTTTCACAAAATAAACAAATGTGTTTGTCTCTTTTCAGAACTGCTAAAGTGGCTTCTGGTCAGGAAAAACATCTTCTCTTTGAGGTACAACCTGGGTCTGATTCCTCTGCCTTTTGGAAAGTGGTTGTACGGGTGGTCTGTACCAAGGTGAGAGTGATAGGGACTTCTGATGCAGAACTTGAATTATTTTGGTGGTTAGAACCACATTTAATTGTGTAATGTAATATGATTGAAATAGATGTTAATAATGTGGTTATTATTAACTATTTAAAACATAGTTTTGGTACTGTTATTGCCTTCCAGGTTAATTGAATCTCACTGGTTGTGTAATTACCATATAGCAGAGATTTTTATACTCAAGAAAGGTGGTAGTAAACCCTCTACCTCTCTTTTTGTATTTAGCTAGCTATGGAATCCTAAGGCGACACTCTACATAACTCTAAGATGATTCCTTAAAAATTAGTTATCTTAAGAGATCATTTCTTTTAAGAACACTGGGTTTTATTTATTTAATAATTTTTAAGTCCATTAGAAAGGTTTGTGTTTTTTGTTTTGCTTTAGTAATTTTTAATTATAGAGTGGATTTTTCACCATTAATACACTGTCTTAGTTCATCTTTAAATTTTAGGTAATTGAATATATCAACTGTGTTGAAAAATATAATAGCCGTTGTCATAGAGTATTAGGAAGCCTCACCCACCAATGGGTAGATTAGAATAGATGATTTTTAACTTTTGTGAGGCCACAGAAAATGAAGGAACGAATTTTATTAGGCCTTCTCATATCCCCACTCCTATTATACAACAAACAAATGGTGAAATCATCCATGTGCGTATAAACAGTAAATTGGGCATTCATGAGTGCCCTGAAGTCCATTCCTGACCAACCCGTAAAGAACTTGTAGGTAAGGAGATTTTTTCCTTTTGTGTCATGATCAGCAAAGTCTATACATTCTGTCCCCACCTCACCCCTAACCTTATTTTTTCCAATTCCTCCCCCCTCATTCTATTCCACCACCCTGGGCTCCTTGCTGGACTCCTTGTGCTCCTTGCCAGGTACACTTCTGCCTAACATGCTTTGCACTTCCTATTCTCAGCCTGGAATGATCTTTCCTCCAAATATTGATATGACTCATTTTTTCACCCCTTTCAGTTCTTACATGTCACCTTCTCTGTGAGGCCTTCCCTACAACCTTTTAGCATTTCATCTCCTCTGTTTTATATTCTCCATAACACTTACTTCTGTCTAATTTGTATTTTATTGTCTGTCTCTCCTACCTATAGTATAAATTCCATGAGGTCAGGAGTTTTGTTTTTTATACACACTGTCACCAGTGCCTAGAGCAGTGCACATATTATCTATAACAGTAATGTGTACTTAATAAATATTTGTTGTGCCCTGATCAGTTTGGTTTAGTGGTTAGAGCATAGAACATCGGCCCACACACTGAAGAGTTGTGGGTTCAGTTCTTAGTCAAGGGCATGTACCTGGATTGCAAGTTCAATTCCTGGCCCTGGTCAGGGCACATGCAGGAAACAGCCAATTGATGTGTCTCTCTCACATCCTATGCTTCTCTGTCTCCCTCCCTCCCTTCTACCCTAAATAAAAATCAAAGGGAAAAAAATATCGTCTCCCTCCCTCCCTTCCACTCTAAATAAAAATCAAAGGGAAAAAAAATATCTTCAGGTGAGGATTGAAAAAATAAAAAAAATATTTGTTGCAGTTTGATAAACTTTGCTGTTAAATACTATGTCTATGTGAATTATTCCCTGATTTCTTCTGAATTATACAGTTTCAAAGGAAGACTGGCCCAGTTTCTTTAGCTCTGAAAATCTATTTTATAATTTATAAATTCCTATCACCTTTATTTCTATTTGTTTTCAACTGCACGTATAGTCTTTTATTACAAAGAATATTACATATTTGCATTTCCATTTAGATCTTACCACCCCAAAATTTAATCAAATTTTTTAAAATTAGCAGTGGTTCTGCCATTTTTACACATGGAATCTGATTCAGACTTGATTCTCAGTTTTTCTTCTCATTGCCTTCTCAAGTAGTAAACAATAAATGTTAGTTGCAACTATTATTATTTTCATTCCAAATATGGAACTGTTGCTATAATGTTTTTTAATATGTAACCTCATATTTCACTTTCTCATATCCCCATTTCCATCAACACCTACTTCATTCACAATTTTAATGCCCTCTCTCTATATTTCTCCCTGCGTTCTTCATTTCTTTCTAAGTATTTTATGATTTTGTTTGTTCTATTTATTTTGATATTGTACTAAATAGGTTTCGTTGCTTACTTCTGTCCCCACAGTCTTCCTTATCATCTCCTGTGCTGAAAGGAAGTCTTTTACATCTCTAACGTATTGCTGATTAATTCATGTTCTTTGCCCTCAATCCTACTGGCTTTGGTCATTTCAAAAGTGAAGATATGCCCCACTCCACGAGTCCTCCAACCTGAAAGCAATATTATCCCTCCTTACCTGTTACCTCACACTTGCCCCAAATATATCCTCACATTATAATGTAAGCTAGAGCAAGGCTAAGTACAACCTGTAGACATTGGTTCATTTTATTTTAAATGAGTTTTTGCTATACCTCAAAATGGCCTTCTGAGAAAACTCAACCAGTTTCTGTTAGAATTTACTTCAATATAATTTTCTCACTTTAGTTTGGAAGTTTGGGTGTAAAGTAAAACTTAAGATATTCAAGGAAACAATCTGTTGTTTCAATTATAGTAAAATGGCATGTGGTTGCTGGATTCAAATAAATGCCTTTAATTAAGAAATTCTTTAAGAAATTAAAATGAAAAGAATTGCCAATACTGATCTCTAAAATTCATTTCTTAAGTCTGGGAAAGTTTCCTGACCTCACAAATCTAAATAAGATAATTCCTAATCAACCCTACAGAGTTATTTTGAATATCAACTTAGATAAATTTGTGTAGCTCCTTTAAAATCTACAAATGTAGGAGACATGACATTATTCATATGCTAAGACTCTTGTTCTCTTGTTGGATAATTTGGAAACCTGGCAAACTTCTCTTTCCTAGGATGTTTGACTTAGTATTTGTTCCCCTTTTTTGAGGAAAAACTGATCAGAGAAATTATCAACCTTTTTGTGAGGGGAGGGCTTGTGTGTGTGTATTGTTGGGATTTTTTTTTCATTTTCTTTGTATTTTTAGATTAACAAAAGCCGTGGCATTGTAGAAGCATCACGGATCATGAATTTGTACCAGTTTATTCAGCTTTATAAAGACATCACAAATCAAGCAGCAGAAGTGTTGGCACAGAGCTCCACCTCTGAAGCCCCTGACGAAAACTCGTCATCTGTAACATCTTGTCAAGCTAGTCTTTGGATGGGAAGGTATACAATACATAAGCACCATGTTTCTCTTATTTTCCAATTTGCAAGCTACTGAAATCTCATTAATATTCTGGCTGGTGCTCTTTGTGACATCTTAAATCACATTACTTTTTGTCTCAATTGATATATCCCAGATCAGCTTTTGGGTTATTCTGTACTTAAGGACATTGTTAGAGGGCCCAATTAAAGAAAAGAAAAGTTGAAGTGGCTTATGCCAGGTAACATTGCTGCCAACTTCATTTCCATTAATCCACTCTCTACTCTACATGCTTGCATTTAGTGACAAAAGAGTTATAGTTAATACCCCTCTTATAATAGATATTTAAGTTCTTACATCAAAGCCCTTCAGGAAATTAGGCCCAAGAATGGCAGAACCATTCCAATTTTCCTTAAGATTATCTAATTGGAGCATTAAAATTGTAAATATTGGCTCCAGGATCTGGCAGTGCATTCAGGAATGAACAAGTAGTTGGTGTACACATTGCATGTACCAGAAGGAAATGAAGTCAGCCAGAGTTTTCTGTGGTTGTGCTTTTTTTCTC